CCCAGCGTGGTAACTGAGTTCACTGAATACAAATTGTCGAAGTGTGTGTGTGTGTGTGTCAACCTTTGCACCTAAGAGATTGTTTCAAGCAGGGGGACTAGGCATGGAGGGTACAATTCGCCAGTACAAAATCAGGGGGGTCAACCCTCCTTATAAAACGATTTATCTAATGCTAAATTGCACGTCACACCCCCCAGTTTATAGACACATTAGTAAAAAACACATTAGTTGGTTTGTTTGTAGTTGTGCTTATCTATTAGTTCAAGATGTTTGGTTTGTTGACCTTTTCTTTTTAGGTCATCGTGCGCCACATGAGTGCATCGACGCCTTTTTCGTGGAGCTGACGAAGGACAGTGTCGTAGCAGTGAAGGAAGCGCAAAAGCGGGTGGCTGCAGACTGGCGTTCAGGCTTCCATTCTCGAGGGATCCAAGCAGAGCCTAAGCGCCGGAAGAAACAGATAAGGTGCTTCAGGACAGCAGCTCGATGGAAAGCTGCTGGGAAGACGAAGCCCATCGAGAAGAAGTCATCCGTTGCAGTGGCAAAGAAGGTGGCCATCTGCAGCCGCTCGAGAACAAGGCCTCCAATTACACCAGATCATCCAAAGGTACCCGCATGATTCAGCAACAAATGTCCCGGCTGCTTGAGATGGACGTCCTGGCTTTTCCTGGCAAGCCGATGTTCGACGCCGAGACCAAGATCTGTCGGATAAAGTATCTGAACATATTTATGAGATTTTTTGATGTGAAAAATGTATATATTTGTTTTTTTTGGGGGGGGTGAGTGCGTTGATTTTTTTGATTTAAAATTTTGTTTCAGAAATTGACAATGAAATCCGATGTTTGAGATTCATGAATCAAGGTCTGATCATTCCCAACATCTATTGTCAAGTTTGATCTCAAAAAAATTACAGTTTACCATTTTTTGAAATTAATTTTTGTTCATTCGATCCTAGGCATCCCAACGCTTCCAAGAGCACAAGGACAGATCTGTTGAACGCAGCCGCCAATTTCTTCTCGGCCGAGTTTCCAACACGGAAACGCGAGGTGTGGGGAAAGCTTGTGCACGACAAGCTCAAGCTGATCGAGAATCAGCTTTTGAGACGTCCGCCTGTGAGAACACAGTGGGCTTATCTCATCCACAGTTTATGCAGCTTTCCAAGGTGAAAGTTGAGCAACATGGTTGAGCCATGTCGAGTCGCCTCATTGCAGCTAGAAAGCGTTTAGAATTTTAGAAATGTTTAGGAATCTATATGAAAGTGTTGTTTTTTTGGTGTTTTTTAATCAAAGTGTTTACAAACGCCTTTGGTCTCAATGTTTGATCTCAATTGGTCTAACATGTTGTGTGTTTGTGGTTGCAATGAGAGCGAAGGGGGATTTTCTGTCAAGCGCTTGGCAACCAATGTGGGACCAGAGCAGATCGCACCAGAGAAACGTGGAGAAAAAATAGCATGCGTTTTTTATCGTCAAATGTCATTTGATGTCATCAGATTATAGAAAACTTGCTGGGCGTCAGCACGCGTTGTTTTATAGAAAACTGCTCATTTTATAAGGATTTCAGGGGGTCAAGTCTTCTCAAAATATAGACTTTTAATATTGGTCAACACGCTTGATTTTATAGAGGTCTCAGTCATTCTATGGCTTCCTGGGGGTCCATCACTCCATTTTATATCTATAAAATCAGGAGCAGGACCCCCTGCACTGGAATTGTACCCTCCATGACTAGGCATTTTGCTGCTGACCTGGCCTAACAAAGCTAGGCAGCCAGATGGGAAGCATCGGGAGACCTCCTGATGTGTACCTGCTTTCTTTGAACTGTTGACAAAGCTGTTTACTCGACTCTTCAGCCACGTGCTAGTGCGGCGGCTGTTGCAACACTTTCAGTTTGATAGACCCAGCATTCTTACCGTTCCTTCGAGTCAAGGGCTAAGTATTCACTCCTAATCCAGCTTCTGACATTTATGTTCATTCAGTTGAGCTCTATATTTAAGTGTGTTCAGTAGCATCTTCCCACTTGGGTGTGCTGTGTGATCCCTGCGGGGCGCCGAATTCAAAGCTGCTGACTTCAGATTTACTCGTGAGCACCGTGAGTTATTTTCTGATCACCAGATGTCGTTTGAAAACGCTGACGCAATACTGCCGGGCCCAAGGAGATTGCTTAACATAATTTCACTGCTGTTCATCACCACGCATTGATCTTAGATGATCTTGGGTCCTGACCTGTCACGAACTCTCTGAATTTCATGACTGCTTCAATGATTTGCACTTTTGAGTATGTAATTGTTCATGTTGCATGACTTTATCCTTCCTTTTGCTTTTGTTTTTCCCTTTTCTTCTCTCTCTCTCTATATATATATATTCAGGCTTGTTAGGTTGTAAATTCAGGTTGCGCCGACACCGGCTTTATCATCACCAGCTTCGACTGGTACCGGTTTTGAGTGCACGAGACTTTGCCATTTTGGCACCCAGTCGACCTTTCTCTCCTTCTTTTCGTTTCCGTATCTTCTCCCGTTTTCTTTTTCTTCTGAAGGACACCGCAAGGAGCTTACTGCCGGCCACGAAAATCGTTTATGACTCGCCTCATTGTTACTTCAGCAGAGCTGTTGCTTCTTCAGCGCAAGGCGCAAGATGCAAGACGTTTTGAACATCGCATAGCCCGACATCCAGAAATCGGGGACAAAATTGCAATGGAAGTGCAGCGACAAACACTTTAATGCGCCTTCAGCACCCACATACTAGTAGACATTTCAATGTATTTGCCATTGTCCTTTGGAAAAACACCCAATATGGGTCACATACCATTCCAGGCCACGATGATCAGAGGAGCCAGCCCAGACATTGGAAGGTTACAATTTGTCATCAATCTGTGAAGCCAGGATATGTAGGACACACCATTCACTGCAAACATCAACCCAACAACCAAATTGCCTAGGACTCCTGAAGGAACATGACGTATGCCATGTCGCCTTTTGTTTGACATTTGCCTATTTTGTTGGGTGGTTTCCAGAGCCAGGGGACTCCCTTTGGGTGGGGGTGAACAGAGCCAGGTCGATCCAGAGATGTGAATTTATGGTCCTCAGGTTCACGCTCTACCTACTGGCTTTGGTTTGTAGTGCCCGGCGCCCCAGAAGTGACTAGTGACAGTGGACAGTGGTGGTTCTCAGTGGTGTTGGATTGAATTGGAGGCCTTACACATCCACTGCAAAGTTGTTGAGGTGTTTGCTGGGTGGTTGAACAATGTTTTGGGTAACATCATCAAAAAAACAGACCGGATGATTCGATACAAGTCCAATGCCACATTGACATGTGCACATGTTCAGATGCAACAGCTATGCGCTGACCTTGTCTAAGTATGCAGCAACCATAGTTTGTTCCTCTTCAACGTGTTTAGTGGGTCTTAAATTGAGGTGGGTGTTTGATCATACAAAGACGGGTTTGAATCGCTGAATCCTGGGCCACATCATCAAGCTTGTGAAGCTGTGAGCTGTGGCCAAACTTTGTGTATCAGGAACTGATTCATTCATAATTACAACCCTTTGTGAGGTTCTCTCTAGAAAGGAGTGGTTGCTGCCCCAATATATAATTACCCTCAAAGTTGTCAGGGGTGTTGGTAATCATTGGCAAACGCTAGGTGACTGCCTACTAGATATAGGAACCCAGACCCACCACGACTCTGTTTACATGTGTAGCCAGTTTGTAGTGCTTTCCAGTTCACTGGCAAGCCGATCTGCATGTCAAAGTTCTAATTCTGTCAGATGAGTCATCAATCATTCTGGAAGGCCAACGAAGTGGAAGACCAAAGGTTTATAACACAAAACAAACAAACCAACAATTAAAACCATGTAAAAACAAGTACACTACAGTGGTTTGAGAGTAGATGGTTTGCAAGAAGTCTTTTGTATTAAGTGGTTCCTCTAAATCACTAAACTTGGGGCGGCATCCACTCTCAAAGAAACACCTTCCGGGTGATATATTTTTAACAATATTTTTTTGGGTAGCCCACTTCAGGCTCCCACGGTGGGTCTACGAAAGGGCGCCTGCGACTATCTCTCCGAGATGCTGCAGAAGGGCACTCAGCCGGGACGCCCAGAAGGGCACTCAGCGCACTCTTCGCGTCTTCGCAACTTCACCGGAGGAAAAACGGAGTTGAGAAGGGAGTGGGGGGAAAGGGGGCAGCAGACCTGACTTGGGGCTGATGAGGATGTTTTGTGATGAGTCTTGGAAAACACATGACATTTAAGATGGATTTTAAACATGAAATAGTAATATGGTGTAATATGTATATACTCTAGTCGACTTGGGATTGTGATTTGGAAGGTGATATGTTTGGTAAGCTCCCCGAAACGATGCAAAGCACATTGCGGATACGATATCTTAATAGATGTTTTTAGTTACATGGCATAAATCCCATGCTCAAAGGTATCCACATAGCGTAGATCCCATGTTCAAAGGGATCCATGATCCACATGTATGTTGCTTTGTGTCATCTACTGTGAACCTATATGAAACTCCGGGGCTCATGACCAACTCCTGCGGGCTTCGGTTTCGTGTCGTGGAGCCCAGAACTTCGAAGTCACGTCGACCGTGTCGACCAGGCCGACGCGGATCGGGTGCTGATCGGTGAACGATGGATGACTAGGGTCCTACCGGGTCCTACGGTACAACTGGATTCTCCTCCAGTGGACACTGGTTCATGGGACAAACTGAGGACTTTTAGGGATCGGTAGGACCACTGTACTGGTACCCTAGGGATTATTCTCCTCCAGTGGGTCCTACCTGAGGTCCTACCTAGGGTTTGATTCTCCGCCACTGGATCTGTGGACACTTCGATCCAGCCCGACCAGTCCACCGATTGCCGTGAGTTCGACGGTCGTCCACCAGGTAGGTCAACCGGTCGGTCTGGTGCTATATGACGCACAGCCATATGTTTGTGTGGGTGTGTGGCCACACTTAGATGTAAAAGTATCAACAACCGGTATAGGGGACCTCATACCACTCGTTTGGCAATAGATTGTATTAGGATGTGATATTAAGATCTTAAGATATCTTAAGATAGTCTGAGAGATCATCGTCCGCCCCGCTTGAGCCCGACGAGGTCCTACTTGGCGGGCGCCGCGTTCTTGAAAGCCAATTGCCCCGTGGCTAGTTGGGTCGACGCTGGGTCCTGTGCGGCGGGGACTTGACCCCGTCCGCGGAGAAGAGAATGGCGTCGGTGAAAACCGTGTTTACAGTGATCATGACCCCTAGGGATCCAGTCGTACCTCCTCAAAAGGTACTTGGACCCTCCAAACCCACCCCAAACACCTTCTCAGAGGGTACTTGGATCCTTAGGGGACGTACTAATTACTAGGGACCCCCGAACAGGTGTCGATGTTTGTCCTTCCTCTTGTAAGTCCTCTTGGTGTCCTCCTACTGTCCTTCGGCCGCGGGTGAACCCTGGGGGGAAACTTTGAGCAGTGGATTCAATCCAACAAGTACTTGGATTTTTTCAATGTTCGGCTCGCAGAGTGAGTACATGTAACTTCACATAACCAAGCACATGTCATGGACCGGAGAGTTTCTTGAGCTGCCTTGTGTCATTTATGGATGTCATTTAGTTGTGTTCTCTTTCACAGTGCTTAATTATTCTGGAAACGCACCAATCTCGCGCGCTTCACTTCACTCACTTCACTTCATGCGACGATCAAACATGAATGGGGTGTTACACTCACCAGACTCACCACAGAAGAAGACACCATTAAAAAAAAAGACCGCCCTTTTTCGACATGAGAAAACCAACAGACCCTTCGACGCTTCGATCTTGTGAGACCTGACCTCACGCTCCGATCTCTAAGACCTCGACCTGATCGGCTCCTTGGCCTTCACCCCTCCCGGTGCCGTGCCCATCTGCCGCTCGCCGTCTCGCGCTCGCGCGAGCGACTCGCTCGTCGTCTCAGGTCTCCAGGCCTTCCGGAGGATTTTGACCGGTCCGCTGGACGTCGGGCACGCCCAGCGGCTCGACGGGGCGGCTCGACGGGCCGGGGCGACTCCACGGGCGACGGGTGGAAGGCGGTCGAGGGGTGGAGGGTGGTTGAGAGGTAAAGGGACGAGGAAGTGGATGGGAAGGGAAGGGACCATGAATTCGGATAGATGGCGTTTTGCTATAGGAGTGTATGAATTGTTGGCGGTTCGGGTGCGTGCCAAGATTTGGTGGAAAGTGTGATATAGTTATAGCCCTTAAGACGCCTTGTTCGGATGGGAAGAGTGATGCTTCCTGTTGTGGTGGTCGGGGTCCTGTCCGGTCAGGTGAGGGGGCCAGTCCAACCAGGTGACGTTAAGTGGCCGGATGGTCCGATGTGTGGTTTTTCAGTGTTTCTATACTGACTGGTGCGACCTTAGTATATAGGGAATGAGGGTGGCTGGATGGTGGCTGGATCCAATATAGACTCTCTATTGGGGGCGAAACGGCTCATTCTTCTTCCCTCATTCTCTACTACGAGTCGCACCAGTCAGTATTAGGTTGTGCCGGTCTTTTGATGTGGAGTTGGTGCACTTGGCAATGAAAGAAAACCCAGTGTTTGTTCAGGGATCGGAGATGATCGGCGTGGGTAGATGTGGGATTCAAGATAGATGATAGGAACATGTTCCTTATTTTGTATAAGGGGTGTCAGCTAGATTCTTGAAACAAAACATTGGATGTTTCTCAAGAGTCTCAAATTCACCAAGACTTGATTTCCTTTCCATGACATCCCGGGCAGGGGGGCTATTTGGACAAGCAATGCCTGAACGTGGTCGTTGGTTCACACAGATTGTTGGCCTAATTGTTGGCCTTGGAGGGGTAGTCACTCTCAATCCACTTCTCTATATTGATCCAACAAGAGGAAGCTGCAACTTTCAATATCAAAGTGGCCTATAATCCCTAGGGCTCCAACCATATCCTCAGGAGGTGGTTAGACCCCCCTGGCACCCACCCCTGGTGAATAAGTATTTGGTTGTTTTTCTCGGTGGCTGATCCATGATTTTGCCATGCACTGGAGGTCCATACTAAGGTCCCTGATCAGCCTCAGTGGCAACACACACGGTTGCAGTGGGCAAAAGTGGGGGTGTTATGAGTCCCTTCTATCACTGGATCCCCTACGACCATCTGTAGTTGCTTTTCATCTCCACTTGGAACTGTGGGAGCTGATAAGCGGTAAAGCCAAAAAAACAAGTGTGTATACTGTATACTGCTTTGGAAGATCTAGCATCTATACTATTTGGATGAATCATTAATCGGTCAGACTCGGCACTCAGAAGATCATGATCGGTTAGACTCGGCACTTCCCGCAAGATCGTTGACTTGGCAGCCACTTCTTCTTCGAACAGCCCTCTGAGGGACTCGAACAGCCGGCGTGTTCAGGACTTGGCCGCCAGCACCTCCCGCATGATGATTGCCCTCTCCAAGTCTTGCTACGTCGGGCCTCCCGGAGGGCGGAACGTGGCCACGAGCGGCGTGCTGTGATGAGAGGTGGCAGTTGACAGATGTGAAGATACTGAGTTACACAGGATATAAGTAAGGCCCCTAGGGCCTAGGGGATGGTGAGGATTGCAGTTGTTGTGATATTATGTATGAGGGGCTTGTGAAAATCCGAGTTCCTCAGTCTTGCGTGTGTCCAATCGAAAGATAGCCCTACCCTTTGGGGGTTCAGACAGCTAGTGAAATCCCAACTGAATCTTTCAGTGGAAGAAGTGTTGCATTTGACTGCCTGGATTGGATGATTTGACAACAATCATATACAATCATCATAATATGATCATCTATACCATGAGCAAGTTATCAGTGATCAGTGACCAGTGAGGCGTACCCATTAGAGCCCTTTTCTTGTTTATTCGCCCTTTCTTGCCTTGCTTTGGTCGCCTTTTTGCACGCCACCTGAGAGTCGAAGTCAAAGAGAATCCTCCAACGATGAGTTCCACAAAAAGGAAGCCACGATGAGTTCCACAAAAGGGTAAAGGCTCGGGTTTTAGGGAAGAGCATCCACCACTGTGTGGGCCTTTTGATGATCCTTTCGATGTTTTTCTGGACACACGTGTCTACTCTTTGACAAAAGCGAGGTGGTGAACCAATTCGTCCTCCCAAAAGGGACCACATTTTTTGAACCGCTATTGGACAATTTTTTGGACCTGGCTGTTGAGAGTGGAAAAAGTCAGAGGTCTTGGGCCATTGTTCTTCCGGTCCTTGTTGTAGGGGCGAGACTGAGTGACCACTGATTACCACTCCAGTTGCATGGCATCATTTGGCTGAGAATGTCCCTTTCTCTAGCACCTATAGGCTCATCAACAGACGAATCTCCAACACTTGAAGTTCCAGCACAGTGGATCCACACTTCTCACAGTAATGAAGGATCCCAGATGCCCATCAGTAGACCGGTAGATTGGGCCGTTCCAAATGACATCAAATGGCCATCAACCCTTTTGGAGGGACGACCACCCTTCAGAAAAAAAAAGAAAAAAACAGAAATCAACATAAGAGAAAACACGCACAAACAAACATCTGACCCAGTTTGCTCTCCAGAAAATTTCATCGGCCTGTCATGCGAAGTAGTGAATTCTCGAGGTGTCCCGGCCCTTGCCAAGCACGTGGGCTATCCAATGCATTCGGAGTGCCGCGTTGCCAAGGGTGTGCACGTTCACATGCTGGATATCTTGGAGACGGTGCGGGATGCAACGATCGTCCGTTCACCGACCTATCGTCAGTTCCACCAGCTGAAGCACGGGTGGTTCGGTGGTGAACAACGGTGGAACCTGACTTCATCGGGATGAACAACGGTGGACCCTGAGAAAGAACGGACCCACCCGGCCGTTGATCGACTGCTCCGACCGAGCGTGCTCAAGGAGCTGAAGTGGCGGGGTTGGTGGATTCCAGAGGCCCTATGGAAGACCAGGTAGTAAGTCTATCTTATTCAGCAAGTATCATTTTATGTGTTTTTCATTCTTATTGTGGGTGAATTCTAGAGGCTCTTTTGAATCTTAGTGGGTCAAACCGCTAAACCACTGAACCACCTTCATCGCACCGAAGCAAGAGGGAACCCATGGAACTCCCAGAAGGCCAAGATGGCGGCGCAGCGAAGCTCACTTGTATGTGACCTCTGTCAGTGGATGCATTACCATGTGCTTCATACATCTTCATACCCTAAAGCATCCTAAATAACCCAGTTCCCGCAAGAATTCCATCTCCTTCCTTTCACCTGATCTTGGAGCTGTTGGGATTGCTTCCTATACTCAAGAACACGTGGGCGACCCGAACGTTTCACTTACCCTCTGACTCACACATCACATGGAAGTGGAAAGCCACCTGTTTGTAGAGGAGAAAGACTCGTCATCGAACGAGCCATGCCACGAGATCCCGTCGTGTAACCATGTGTTCGTCGGAGTGGTCAGGGGATCTCGAGGTCCATTTCACCAGTCAGGACGGTCGTTAGGACGTGGTAAACTCTATGGAACCGGAGGTTGGATCTAGAGAGGTATGGCAAAGGTGCTGCACAGGTGATCCAGATCACTGCAGCACCCTCCAACATCTTCTATGGTGAAGCACATAGTCCTGACAAGGAAGAAACCATCATAAATAGCAATGTTACAAATCAACACAGAATTGTGTGTGAACCAAGCCCCAAAGGTTCCTTGACATCATGGATGATGTATCCTGTCTCATACATCAGAGCACCCACCCTTACAAGCAGTCCTAGGCCCTAATCAGGCCTTGTTTGTCTCAGACACGTCCAGCGCCCGAATCCAGGTGCTCGCGGCCATCGGAAATCCGGCCTCTGGGTCCTTGAGAGCCCGGGAGACTCAGCGGTTGCTCCGGCGTTTTTGGGCGCCACGTCGATGGCGCCTCAATGTTCCGCGCATGGAGGCATCGAGGCACTGGCATAGAGTCCTGTAGAGTTCCTGGCTCACTAGTCATTAGGCGTGACTGGCAACCTTTCCCAGGTTCCTCAAGGCTATAAGTCACATGGGTCATGGAGGAAGATACTGGGACGTCTCGGACGAGATCATCTGAAGGCGTCGAAAGGGGAGTCATTCTGACGGCATCATTCTTCGGTGACGGCATCAGAGGAACCGATATATGATCACCTGTTGATGATAGACATTCCTCTCAACTGAATCCTTGTCTGAGCTTCATTTTCACATCCGTCCATGCCATGTGGTTTGCCCTGATATTTCTCATACAACACATTTCACACCTGGGCTTGGTTCCAAGAGGAGGTGCCTTTGAATTCCTCCCCTTCAGAGGACAGGCAAGCATAGGACTCTCTTGAGTTTCAACCCGGATCAGCTTGGACTAAGTGGTTCGACATGTGGTCACTGCATGCAGAGTGGCTTTTGGTTGTTCTCCAGAGTTTGCAGACATTGATCTAAACAAGTAGTCCGTCCTCTCATAGATTGGAAAACACATCCTAAAACTTGAGTGCACACATGGTACCTTTGACGCACTAATAGCACTTGTCTTTATGACAATTGGATCAGCAACAAACAGATCAACACATGTTTCCTTGATTTGGTGATCTCAAAAAAAACAGGTCAACGGTCATGTGGTCGTCATTCGTGGTCACACCGGGCTTTGCCGGGCTGCACGCCTCGTTCCCCAAGGTCATCTCCCTCTCGGAGCTCTTCGTGGTCCGGAACCCCACGGACGGGACGAGCGCGTGGACGAGGACGGTTGGACGATACCGTGGAAAAAGGGGTGTTTGGTGATGTGTTTGGGGGGATTGATCTCAGGGATCAGATCTGCAGGTGTGATCTTGATGATTTCAAACAGTGTGGCCATGCTAGGGGTTCTTACGGGAATTGTTAAGGACGGGTGCTTGACCGGAGGTGCTCATCGACGTGCGCGGCGAATTCGCTGCTATTTACAGTGCATTCATTCACCTTGAGATCTTCGAAGTGCATTTCGACTGTGCAGGCTCGCAGAATCTCTTTTCGTGCCAGCCCACAAAAAAAAAAACTCATGTTTTTGTGGTCCTATAGGTGAACTTTTCGTGGCAGGTGCCTGATGCCAAAGCGTTTTTACTTCAGATTTCCTCCCAAGCCTCCATCCTGCTGTCCGCCACCCTGGCTTTTGGACTGGGAGCATCCTTTGCTAGATGTGTACGCAGCCCTGCTTCAAAAAGCCGACATTAAATTTGAGGTCCTACAGCTTCGAGCACAAAAAAGGAACGGACGATGGACGATCGACGTGAACCTGGACTCTCTCTTCGAGCAGGAAGCTGAACCCTTGCATTACAGCGTCGGCCAAGTGACCGCAGAAACAAAAGAAGAAGAGGAAAACACAAAAGGGACAGAAGGCCCAGGAGAAGAAGAAGAGCCTGAACAAGATCCAACAGTTGAGCCAGGGGCTGAAGCGGCTGATCCAGCCGCACAGCCGTCATCTGGCCGAGTTATCGCCGACTTCATCACATCCCCAGAGGGTATCAAAACAGGTTGGGAAGTTCGTGGCATTCACGCCAAATATACCCCCCAGCCAAAGTCGACCCCAAAGCACCTTGGAGGAAGCAGGTGAAGAAACAGATTTGGGGCCAAGTCAAGAAGCACCCAGAACCACAGTCCGGATTCCGACTTCGAAGCAAGGTTTCGCTTCAGTATCGGAAGCTCAAGGACCTGGTCAGGTTGTAGAAGAAGCAGGGTGTTATCACAGAAGACTTGAGGAGGCGCATCAAGGACTTTGGCAAGGAGCGCCCGCCGCACGAGATCAAAGAAGAGCGGGAAGAACATTCACTTTCCTCAGCTTGGCACCGGCCCTCCAAGAACGGCTCAGGGACCAGTCTTGCCCTTATAAAGGGCTCTTCAAGCGGCAGGTGATCAAGGAGTCCATGAAGAAACACAGGCGCAGCGCTTTGGCCATGGCGGCGGTCTTCGGCACACTCTAAATTCGTGGCGGGTGCAGTGAATCATGACCTCTGGGCTTTGTGCTCTCATATGTGTGCTTTCCTATGCGTGCTGTCATGCTCCGTGTGGTTTATATATAGAAATTCTCTTAAGTCTCATGTGTTGTGCGCTTGCATATGCATGCTCTCATATATGTGTGCTCTCATGTGCGTGCTCTTAGAATCTCTTTTATATGTGCTCTCATGCGGCTGCTCTTACATATGTGTTCTTATGTATGCATGCCTCTCATGTGTGTGCGCTCTGCTTTTTACGCATGCTTTGATATGTGTACTTCCTCTGGTCTGTTTCTTGTTGTTGTATACTTGGGCATGCCGCTCTTCCTACTCGAGCCTCTTGCACTTTCAGCGGTTGCTCATGCGAGAACACTGCCATCCGGAGGTTCGGCGGGGAACACTGCCGTCGGGAGCTGGCGGTTGAGGTCCGGTGGGGAACGCTGCCGTCGGGAGCTGGCGGTGAGGTCCAGCGGGAAACACTGCCGTCGGGAGTTGGCCGGACCTCAGCCGCGAGCCAGAAGATATTGCAGATAGAACGCCAGAATGAATTTCAGAAAGAATGTCGGAATATGCAGAGATATGCCAGATAGAGTGTCAGAAGATATGCCAGAAAGAATGCTAGAACAATGCTTCAACGCATGCCAGAAAACTTGTCAGATTGAAGTCATGGTGGGGACCACGCGAAGTGAAATATGTTTTTTTTCGTCGGTTGTCTGGTGTCTTTTTGCGAGGGTTGACACGTCAAAGTCAAGCGACAGCCAAACATGAAGTTGTATAGCAAAAGCAGAACTGTTCACTGTTTTTGTTCTTGTTGATGTTGGTGGTGGAACAGTGCTAGTTGGACATGGAACGGGTTGCAGTAGTAGCAGCAGTAGTAGTGGTGGTGGTGGTGGTGGCTGTCGTTGTGTTTGTAGTTGTGGTCGCGATGGTGGCGGTTACCACCATGAACCGGCGAGCCGACGCGGAAAACGCCAGGATCACATGCCTCCTCACGCGACACAAACCAAACAAGATCGTTTGGAGCAGCTGGAAAGGGAACGCCCCTCTCAGAAGCGGCACTACACCAGGCCTTCACGCCCTTTTGCACGGACCACCACTCTCTCATACACCGCCGCCGTTACCGCAGCCCTCAGTCAAGCTGCTGCCACCGCGAACTACTGTGTTTTGCAATCGGTCTTTCTCATCCTGATGGAAGCCAATGATGTTGACATATGTTGACCATGTGAGCACCTCTGTTGAGCATGACATCTTTGCCGCTTTCTTCAATTTTGTGCCATCCCCGGTTCCCAGGATTAAACTTCTCATTTGCTGCTATGCCTCTGGGGATGGTGTGTTTCCAACCTGTGGCCGGTGTTTTTGCGACCGGCCAGTTTTGGTCGGTGCATGAGTCCAAACGTGATGTGGGCCACCAAAGAAATTGGAAGGGCTGGACAGGTTCGGAAGAAACCATGTTCGTGAAAATATGTAGTTGTTGTTTTAAAGAGGGTGGTTGGGAGGTGCCTCAAATTTTTGGATCCAGTATGTTTTGGTTGTTGCGTTTTTTTAAGCAAACTCACCAAAGGAATTCCACTTGATTTGGAACAGGATTTTTTGGAACATGCGCAGTGGTGGCAGGGTTTCACTGTTGTAGATGGCAAGTCTCTACAGTAGCCAGATATAGCCAAAAAACGGGATTGTCAACAAGAGATTGTTTTTTCGCAGGCACTGTTAGACAAGGTCGCTGGGCGTAACGCCGATGTCCTGTGCAGTTTTAGGCAGTGTCGTTTTTTGTTGTGAAATAAAAGGTGCAAAATCCCGAGAGGTGCTTCTGACCTTTACTAAAAGAACGATCTGAAAAGGGATCAGGTCATTTCAGGTCCATGTGACTCCAGCAAGACCATCCTGTTGTGTTTGGGTCCCTCCTGTTCTGGGTCTACCCAGAACGCAGGACACCCAGACTAGATGGTCCAGGAATGAATGGTGCACAATTGCGAAAATGGCTTACATACCTACCCCACTTTGTAAAGTGATCCGGGTCCATTCAAGTCTACATCCCACACATTCCGTGCATGGCTTGTGGGTGCCTTTCACATCGTAACCACCAGGTCAACCACCCCGAATGTAAGTAAATAGGTCAGTCCCAGATGGCGGTCCTGTCTGGATTCTGGCTGCGGTGCTTGTCACCTGATACCTCTGCCGCCCAGGCTTTGAGTGATCAGCGAACTGTCGAGGCGACGGATACCGCCGCGGCGCGGTGCGAGTCTGTGGGGCGTTCTTGGGGTCGGTGGAGTGTGAAGTCGCATGGTCAAGACATGTCAACGCTGAAATCTGCCACAAGATGTTGAACGTATTCTGGGAAGTTTTTTTTGCATTTCAAGGTAGAAAAACTCGCAACCATTTTGGTTGAGGAAATTAGCTCAACTCATGCCACATTTGCGGCCAGTTGTTGATGACATTGGATGAAATGATGAAAGTTATAATTTGACTGAGTGTGCTTGAATTTGAGTTTCAAACAGTTTGTTTCACCGTATTTTTTCCCACAACCCCTGACATTCGGCTTTCAATCACCTTTTCATACATGGGGCCGGAAGAGTCTCACCCCTCCTTTCAATCCACCCCTGTTGGAATCATTTTCGCACCCCTCTCTCGAATCAACCATTGTGTTTTGGGGGTTCCGGAGAGAATGCGAAATCAAAAAGGTCCTCATACCAGCACCTTCCTTACCGGGGTCTCCAATAGACTACCTTACAGTACTTGGTGCAGGTACATCATCGTGGTGTTGGACCTTTTGGAACCATCATGGAACTACACTTCACTTGTTCTACAGGAAGCCCCAATCCTGCGCTCGCCTGCGCTGAAGCAGGTTGCATCTTCATAGAACTCGAAGAAAGCAGTTTGCAAACTGGTTCGTTGTGGAAATTTCCGCACCATAGCAGCAACCGAACAACAGTGTTGAATCAATCCGTAAGGTGGAACAGACCGGACATAGAACACTTCAAAGAGGTGGTCGCTTGTTTTGTACTTTTTGTTAACGTTCTATGTTCCATATTCCACCCTATTCTATCTACTCCAGGAACAGGTTGGCTCTGACGATGCCATAGTTGTTCTGGAAGTGTCATGCTTGATGTTGACGTCCAAGACCAAGCTTCAAACGCGGACCCCTACACCCTTACAACCTTTGAAACCACTATCAGCGTGTAAGTTGGGTTTGTCCTATTACCTGTTACAGTTGATGAAGTATCAATTCCAACTTTTGAGAAAGGCCATTACCAACCATCACCATCCGCTGTTGGCAATGGTTTAGACTGGACCCAATGTCTAAGTAAGTTGTTGAAGTTGGCCCAGATTCAACTCTTTCAACAGAAGGTCGGGTAAAGCCGGGATGCCGGACATTTGACCATGGCGGATCATTTTCTGGGACCATGCCAGTTGGTGGAGCAAGAGCAAGCGCTTGTAAGTCTTCACGAGGAAAGAATTTAAAATTGGTGCAAGTGATTGTTTTTCAAAGAAGACCCTTAGGCCCTATGAGGGAAGAAGAACATTATGCCCACAATATAGGATATGATGTGACATGTCATGTTCACTTGTTTTCAGAAGGACAAACCACAAAGGATCGTTGTAGTCCTTCGTTGTTTCACCCAGGACGGTGAGATAAAACCTTTCAAGTCTTGGTATACGTAGCTCCTCACTTGGGCTACACTATACCACTTATACCGGAAGCGGTGTGGGCGGATATGATCAACATGGGAATGGATCAAACACCATGCTCGCACGACCAGTCCACCCGAGGCGCGAAGGTCTCCTGGTGTGACACACGGTGGTACCCTTTGGATGTGAAGCATCAACCAACCGGATGTATTCTATCAAAATACCACTTCCCTGCTAGTCAATGACTCTCCAAAAACATGGTGTACTTCGGTGACCTCATGTACATCGGTCACCAAAACTCGTACTAACTGGACTTGGCTCTCCTTTTGGGTGCTAACGAGTGAGTCTCACCCGTCTCATCGATGTGAACCTCTGCTCCCACGACGACGTGTGAAGGTGCTGGGCGTCGGGGGGTCTCAGAGTGCCCACGAGATCTGGACGGGTTGCAACGGGGTAGGGGGAGGCTTTTGAAGCAAAGTGTGAATATGATGATGATGATGATGAAGCAATGGAAGCTTCAAGCCCAGCAGATGGAGACCACTCAGAGTGATTTACCAGGGGAGGCTGTTGAAGGCCGTCGGTGGAAAAACGATGACAACGACAAGACCTTTATATTGTGACAACACGAAGGTTGCATAGGAAGTGCATACGAAATGCATTAAGAATGCATAATTCATGAGTGCTTATGGTTTATATGAAGTCCTTTACAACTCTGACAACACGAAGGTTCGTAGGGAACATGACCCTGAAGTCTGTGTGTTGTCACCAGTTCTGGAGGACCCATCGACCCGCCAAAGATCAGGGAGATGTGAAGATCAGGGAGAGACAAACCAAGAGACACCACTATGCAGCGACTTCAGCCATCAGTCAAAATCAAGGATTTGGTGTGCATGTCGCTTTTCTTTGCCAGAACTCCAAAACATCAGGTTCTTGGACCTTAAGCTGGGGTTGATTGTTGGTTTTACCATGGGTTCGTGGCTGCTATCCCTTATGACATCAGCTCGGGCCGAGGGGATCATCGAGTTGCCCAACATCATGGCCTTCCTGGGCCTGGCGCGCTCCTCCGTGGCCGCCCGTCCGGGACGCCCAGGAGGGTTGGCGGCGCCCACGGCGCGGCTGGCGCGCCCTCCGGCGGTCCAACGTGTGAGCTGAGGCATGTGCCTTATAGGTGGTTCACCTATAGGATACTTTACCCAGGTTGCTGAGGCCATCACTCACAGGCAGACAAAGACACATAATATGGGTGGGTATTCAAAATAGGGAGACCTCCCATAAACAAATTGACTTCCTGGATTCGGTTCGGGAAATAGACCAGTCTACCCAATGGTTGGCTTTCTCCCTAGTAGAGACACGCCCGTATTTGATCCAACACATGTCAGGCGACTAGCAGACCCGAAACCCAGCCTTTGTGCTGCACAGGTCCCTTAACACATCGGAACTGGGACGCTGATCGTAGCCATGAAGTGCGCCTAAGTGCGCTTGGGGGTGTGCTGACTTACCTGTAACAGTCGGTAAACAATTGTCATCCCACTGGGCCCAGGGAACAGGATCCGTCCCCAAGCTAGCTATGCAGCTATTCAAAGGACTCGATTGACACCCATGGTGCGAACGAACAAAAAACGCACCTACTTTACAGGAGTTGAGACGGCGTCCACTGTGATTCCACTGCTCCCCCCCAGAACAGTTGGACAATTCAAGCTGTAAGGTTGGCTTTGAATGACCTTGAGGAGGGAGGCTCCAGGGACTCCAGGATGTTTCATCTCCCGTTTGGAGGTCCAAAGGGAGGGGAGGATGTTTTCTGTTTTGAACCAGACCCAATTTGAGTACACCCCTAAGGGTCCAGGACCATCCGACTTGGATGTCCTTTGGCTCCAAAGACCTTTCTCTACAAGTACGAACTCACCTCCAAGACCATCCTCAGGAGGTGCCTGGACCCTATGGGTACTTGTTGTGGCGGCTGAACCTTTCATGCCTTTTTTTCTTTAGGTCGCGAGCTGGTGCAGAAGTGGCTGGGGTGCTCAGCAGTGATGATCGAACAGATTAGTTGCTCTCATCCTTCCTAATCCACTATAGGGCTCCAGTCGTACCTTCGTTTCGTTTCGGTGGGACTGGGGTGGGTGCGACCGGAGGGTCCAGTCATACCTTCGTTTCGGAGGTACGACTGGAGCCCTGTAAGACTCCAAAAAGATAGGCGAAGAATGCCATATCCTTTCTGTACCCATTGTTCCTACCGAGATCGGACAGGCACACATTTTTCGATTTAGCGAGCTCCAAGCCCTGTGAGCTGTACTGTGCCCCTCTGTTGGCCCTGTCTTGTTTTGCAGGGGGCTGTTGTCAGCAAGGGCCACAGCTGTCAGTGAAGTGCTTTAGAGGTGAACAGACCACTCGTCAACAGGCCACGAAGAACAGTGAGAGTGCAAGAAACTCCGTCCATCGTAGTGTGAACATATGGGATACCATGAGGTGTGCGATAGAAAGATCCCAGGGAAATTGCGGTTCCGGTGAGTGTTTTTTCCCACGCCAAAGAGAGGTACGGTATGTCGGGATGGAATTGAGCTCCATCCAGTGGATCTTCTCCATTGGCACCCCTCCAGTCTGGCACTCCAACCCACCTGGAACTCGTTTTTATAGCCAATCCCAGAGCATCCAGGGGTTACCATGGGTTACCATATCCAACTCACCCATCCCATGTAGCTAACTCCGACCCATCCCATTTGGCCAACCAACTCGTCCCAGTTTCCTCTCCGAGGCTGGAGAACTTTGGTTCCTCCCTCTATGAGCTGGATGAGGCATGAGCCCGGAAATAAAAGCTATTGAGCGCGACAGATCCGCGCCGTATTGCCTTTTCAGGGGCTCAAGAACCACCTCAAAGCTCTATAGTTCAGGGGCTTAGTAGGAGATTTACCTTTTCACGATGTTTCGCTGTGGATCGTGAAAGGTTTGGGAGTGTAGAGTGACCATGTAACATGGTATCAACATGTATCAATGGATGTGAGAGACCGTGAGCAACCAGGACCAGCATGTGAACCTGGTTGTACACGTGAAGTGGTAGTTTGTGATGACTTACGCTAGGTGGTCATAAGATATAATGGGATTTGGTATTAAGGCTGGGCCATCTTCTCGGATGGAAAGGCAGGGCCACAAACCAGAACAAGAAAAACAAACAATGCCAGTGGATGCATGTGGGTGCCTGGCTGCTCGCAGGGGTTCGGGTGGTCAATGAATTCGGCTGGACAATCATTTGAGTAGCACCTTGAATCTGTTGACAGATTTTGCAGTGGTTTGATGTTGTTCGCAGAACATGTCTAACAAAAACTGCCATTTTGGGTACAAAGTTTTAAACACCTGGGACCCAGATCCTCAAAATCAGATGCCCCCCCACCCCAAAAGGCCGGAGACTGCGCAACCGAAGTGTCCTTGGCCGGTCACTCCGCAGGTGTCGGAGTCCTTTGCGAAGAGCACCCTGGAGGGACTTCTGTACGTCTCCTCACGTGTGGAGCCCTACAGGACTGGTGGCAGGGGGCAGCTGCCGGCTTTGCGGAACGCGTTTGTGTGTGGATGTGAATTCCTCAGAATTGGTTTAGCTACCAGAGGTGAAAGTCAGATGGCAAAGAAGTCATTCGGTGTTTCAGATGTTCACCATCCAAGTTCCTGGATATCATCCCAAAACTCCAAAACTGCTATTTATTGTAATCGGTTTTTCAGGAGGAAACATCTCCACCAAAAAAAATTGTCTCTCTGGAAGGGACGTCTTTGTTTCTTCTGTGCGGCTTTGTGTGGATGTTGGGTCCTGAACTCTAGCTGCCACAGCTGCAGAATTGCTCCTAAGAGGTGACAAAATAGACCCTGTTTCTTTAGCGTTTACCTATTATATCCATTCAAATCATAAAATTTGTTTGTGGACAGTATTGGGGTTGAAGAGCATTCCCACCAAACAAGTTTGGGGTTCTCTGAAAGAGGACCTGCTAGCTGAGCTACAGAGAACACCTGGAATCAGAAGGAAACTTCTGGCCTATTAGCTGAACATCTAAATGTATAATATCGTATAATATCAAATCTCCACTAGAAACCAACATGTACGAACGCACCACCCAAAGCATGGTTATTGAATCGAAAGCACATGGTCAGGGAGTCCGGGGGGGTCTTTTTCAGCCCACTCTTTGGGTGGTGCATGGTGGTGCTCCGTTAGAAAAAACCGCTACGAATGCCGCCCTGCTTGGAGGTCTCTCCGTCTCAGGTAGATCACCGGTCGAACCGCCACCTTTCGACCTCATGAGGTTCGACCTTGGATCCGGACGAGGCCACGGACTTCCGCAAAGCCCTGTCCGGAAGACCCAGCGTCACCCGCGACCGTCACGTCGAACGGGTCGGTGTCGTGCATGCGGGTGGGTGAAAAACGGTGGTAAGAATGGTCCAAAATGCCTTGGTGGAACCTTGGAAGCTGATTTCACCACAATTTCCTGGCCAAGTAAGTCACGTTTTATTGGCCTATGAATATCCAATGAACAGGTGTTTCGTTAGTTGGGTTGGTGGAGAATCTGACAATTGCGAACTTATTCTCCACAATATGTTCGATCCTGTTGTGTTCAAGTTCCAGCCACTAGTCCAAACTTTCCGCAAGACACCTTTCCGTTGGACAGGGCCAAGTTGGCGAACAAGCTGGGCTTGTAAGGAGACGCGCTGGCGAAGACCATAGACTCTCCTCCGTCTGTCTGGCTGGAGTTAGTCTGACGCGCGAAAAAGTGCACCTTTGACGTTTGAAAGGCTCAATTGTGTCCTGTGCAGGGGTAAAAGTGACGACATTCAATGACTATAGACTATCGAGGAAGATTCCATCACAGAGTCCTAAAAGACTATCTTTACGATCCATTTCCAACAGTACTGTATATCTAGCTCAAAGCATAAGAATGTATAATAAGGCCTCACCTAATAATTGCTCACATGGGCTGTATCAAACCACCTGGAAAATGATGATAAAGCATCTCAAAGTGTTTCTTCCTGCCCCTTCCATTGTTCGCCATTCATCTTCCAAGTGGCTGCCTCATGGCGTTCCGGGCCGATTTGTTGCCAAAGGTGTTTGCCTTCGTTCCTCGCGATCTGCAATGCCTAGCACCCTTGAGGGTAACAAGCCAAGACGCCAAAGAAAGCGTCAAAGTTCGATGGCGTGAAGCTCTATGTTGGAAAGACATGGTGAAAGACGCCATTGATTCGGCACCGGCCAACTTGCACATTACCTCAGCCCTGAGGGTGGCCAGCCAATATGCCAAAGAGCGTGTGGACACAAGATGGTGGACAGTACAGGTACAATATTTGAAAGCCTTTGTGGAAAGACATGCATGGCTTTTTGCTGATGATCCAGTGTCAGAGGAAGAGAATGAAGACATGACCATCGAAGAGCAACAAGAAGCATTTGCTCGGAATATTTTGCTCTGGGTAAAGCCACTCCTGAGGAATCAGCCGTGGAGGTCTACAGTCCATGCTTATGCATCGGATGAAGTGACCCTGCAAGCAGCCCATTTCAATTTGAGAAGAGCACTGGCAAACTTGAGTCACCTGGAGTTTTTGGACATTTTGGACCAGTGGTTTTGAGTGATTCACTGTGTCATCCCCCAAAAGAATGTTTGATTCACCCATTTTGCACTGTCATGTGATTCACCCACAAGAATTGCAACTCGTTAGTCGACGGTCATTGTATAGTGCGATATACTTAAGAGCAGTACAATGAAAGGGGAAAGCTACCAAGTTTGTTTGTGAACCAATGCTTTGGTGGAAGGAGATACAAAGAGATTCGTGCAATACAGAGACATGGAACAGATAGCTTTCAAGAGGCCTATGTGGTAGTCAGGAACCCAACAACGTGGAACATGTTTGGTGGTTCATCAAAGGTTGAATGTCCTACCTAATTATTTAGAATAGGGACAAGCATTTGGTCAACAACGCATAGATGTTCAACCCTGGTTTGAGTGTGCATTTGCTGGCGTCATGATGCAACACACGCTCCCGTTCCTTGTTGTTTGGAAGTCTTTGCTGTGGCTTTCAAGAATAAGACCTACTGTAGTGCTTTCGCACTGGACCTTGATCCTATGCTCATCATATACGTCCAGAGCACATGGCAGACGTAATGGCAGACCAAATGGCAGAACAGATGAGAACCTGTCCGGTGCAGAACAAATGTCAGAGCAAATGGTGCAGAACAAGTATCAGAACACATGTCAGAACAAATTAATGACAGGACACATGTCAGAGCATATACCAGGACAAATGTCAGCACACACGTCAACATGACGGACATTGATTCCTGAACATAGATTCATGGAACAGATTCTATTGTCAGACCATGTGTCAGAACGTTGCCGGGATAGTTTGTCAATGCATACAATATGTATTATATATGAGAAGATATGTATACGTGGTATGAATGTCCTTCCTTTTTTCATACCAACTCTCAGTGCGGTGGGTCACTCAAAGTACATGCAGTATATAACTTTGTTGTTTTCTGAGGTGAGAGAAGGAACGATGTGCTCCACGACATCCGCCAGCAAGCACGTTGCATCGAGGACCATCATCTCAGGCACAGCAACGCCGGCAGACACACCGTGCATACCATGGTCTCGCGGGACACGACGGTCGCCCACCTCGAGACGACGGAGATCAGAAGCGAAGATGCCATGTTTGGATCCCACGCCCACACCGAAGTGACCAGAGACGGGAATGTCAGAGCAGAACTGGTGACCATTTTGATGCAGGAAGGCATGTCTGAACAGCAGGCTCATGCGGTGCTCAGACGCATTCAGCAGCGAGGGATGATGGCTGCCATGGCCATTTTGGATCCATCGGAGGTCAGGTCTGATCCATCGGAAGAACTTCTCCAAAGGCCTTCCGGTGCTCTTCCAGTGGTTATTGCAGGACGCTGGAAAACATGTTTAGTCAGAATGGTTTTCTTAGGATCTCTTGCCAGTTTACGCGCAACGTATCATCATGACCAGTCTGCTCTCCACCGAGTGGAAGAAATACTTGTGTCACCCGAAACTGAGTGGCTTCGGCTCAGTTTAGAATCCTATGAAGAAGGAAGTTTGCCACATCCTCGCAGACAGCAGAAACTGGACTCGCAGCGCAGCTATCCAGAAACTGGTTGGCTTTCTTGGCTGAAGAAGCCGATCGCCAAGAGGATTGCAGCTGCCACTGTCAGGCCTTTCGAAAAGGCCAGCCGACTTCTGATCAAGACGATCAAGACGGCAGGGGTCCGTGGACTGCTTGCAGCTGCGGAGCATTATACTGCTTTGCATCTGGCAGCCAAGAAGGGCGACCAGGCTGTAGTACGTAAGTTACTCCAGGCAGGTGCTTTGCATTTGGCTGCTATGATGGGGCACCAGGATGTGGTAAACGAGTTGCTGCAGATGGGTGCAGAGAAGGAAGCCGCAACAAGACTTCATTACACAGCACTGCATTTGGCTGCGCAGAACGGCCACAAGGAGGTCGTAGATTCGTTGCTCCAAGTGGGTGCTGACAAGAATGCAGTGGCAAAAGATTGGTTTACAGCACTGCATTTGGCTGCTATGACGGGACACCAGGATGTGGTGGACAAGTTGCTCAAGGTGGGTGCCGATAAGGAAGCTGCAACAAGACTTGGAAAGACAGCACTGCATTTGGCTGCGCAGAATGGCCACAAGGAGGTTGTAGTGCTGACATGAATGCCAGGACAGCAAATGACGGTTCTACAGCTTGCATTTGGCAGCGAAGAACGGCCACAAGGAGGTGGTAGACACATTGCTCCAGCTAGGTGCTGACAAGAACGC